GGTTTTATGCAAAATTCCAATGTTTTTAGATACTTTGTTTTTTAATATATTAATGTGGTCTTTTTAGCCAATATGTTCATCTTAATAATACCCCGAGAAATTTAACTGAGAACGCTCGATTTAGTCTAGCTTTGGCTAATAGAATATCTGGAAGTTTTAATGGTATTTTGTCTGAATTGTATGGTTTTGTGAAAAAAATATAATTACTTTTCTCAATGTTGACAGAAAGTTTGTTTGCTCTAAACCAATCGCTCAACTCTTCAAGTTCCTGATTTACTAAATTAAAAAGTGTAGTAATGTTAGAGTGGGTATAGAAAGCTTGAGTGTCATTTGCAAAAAAAATGAAGTTCAATATACTGGAAGATAAAAATATGTCATTTATATAGATTAGGAACACCACATGTGATGATTTCAAGGGGAGTGTACGTTTTATTGTAAAATAAGGCTTGTTTACGGTTTTTTAGATAGCAACTGAACCATTTTAAATTTTTTATTTTATACCATAATTATAAAGTTTGTATAGAAGAATATCTCGTGGTCCACTGTATCGAAAGGCTTTGAAAGGTCGATAAATACGCCAAGGGTGTGTTTGTTTTTGTCAAAGCCACTTAAAATTTTGAGTTGAGTCGGTTGAGTTATAGGTTTATTACAGCATGTTCGCTTGTTTGAAGATACGCAAGATGCTTATGAGATATTTTCCGAACTTATACATCCCTTTTTTAGAAACTATAAACCTGTAAGGAAAAGCTGAAGAAATAACTTAAAACATCTTTTACAGTACTACCTAGGTGAAACAACGACCAAATTAATTAAAGAATTTTCATTAACTTGGTCTTTATGAAATGTCGTAAAATATGGAAACTGGAAAATATTTATATCTTTTTTTTTTTTTTTTTTTTTTTTTTTTTTACAACTTCAATATACACTTTATTACGTTACAATTCTATCATATAATTTAATGCAAAGAGTAAAATATATAACATAACATAAGAATACGTAATTTAACAATTATAATAAAATATAACGTTAAATTAATAAACACTGTTTTTTTTTTTAAATAAAAACTATTGTTTCTTCAAATATAAACATGTTGTTGTAAAGGAGACTCGCAGAAGACTATGAAGTCTTATCATCAAGTACCTTTTCAAATGGTTAAATAAATTTAATTAATTTTTATATATAGTTAAAAGTGGTTAAACAATACACAGTCAGTGATACACATAAACATTTTAGTATAAATCTTGTTGTTAAGTTTAATACATGTCAATAAAATTTTTGATATTAAGTATGAGGTGTTTTAATTTTTTTTTCAAGGTGGCAGAATTATTTAATGCTTTAAGTTCTATATTTTCGGATATTATTTTGTTATATAGGTACGGACCCCGGTAGGAAATAGAGAATCGTGAGAACTTTGTTGTTTTTTTTGGTAATGTGAAGTTCCCTGTTGCTCTTGTGGTATATCTATTAGAGTTAATTTGAAAAAAGTTATCTAAAAAATGCGATGGGACTAGTCCAAGATTGTATTTAAGCATGAAAAGAATATTTTGATAGATGTTGATTTGGTAAACATTCAGTGCATTTAGGGTTTTTAGTAAAGGTTCAGCATGGGTGAGTTTATATTTATTATAAACTAATCTTGATGCATGTTTTTGACTTAAATAAAGAGTATTTAACTTGGATTTGTGTGTACTTGCCCATGCAATATTAGCGTACGTAAGATAAATTTGGATGTAAGAAAAATAAAGAGATTTAAGATTATCTTGGGACAACATAGGTTTAACTTTGTAAAGTATCCCAATATTTTTTGAAATTTTGGTGTTTATTGTACTAATATGGGCTCTCCAAGTTATATTTTCGTCAATAAGTATCCCAAGAAATTTTGTTGTTTCTGTTCTTTTAATGTTTACCTTATCTATTTTTAGTGGGGGAAGTATAGTTGGTATATTATTTTTTTGTTTTTTGGAATGAAACAATATATATTTTGTTTTTTCTGTATTTAGTGATAACTTATTTAATTTCAACCAGATGTTTAATTTTTCAAGCTCTTTGTTCATACATTCATAAAGGTTTTTGATTGAGTACGAGGAATAAAATAAATTTGTGTCGTCGGCAAAAATTATAACATCAAGTTTTTTTGAGGTTTTTGTAAGGTCGTTAATATATAGAAGAAACAGAAGGGGTCCAAGAATGGAACCTTGGGGGACACCGCACTCTATTCTTAGTAGTTTTGAGTGTTTATAATTGTCTGAAATAACACATTGTTGCCTATTGCTTAGGTAGTTTTTGAACCAGTCAAGAGTGATGTTTTTTACTCCATAGCTTTCCATTTTTTTAAGTAAGGTATTATGATTTACTGTGTCAAAGGCTTTTGACAGGTCTATAAAGATCCCCAGAACATATTGTTTTTTATCAAAAGAATCACTTATACTATTAATTAGATCTAGGATTGCGTGTTCAGTCGAATATTGTTTTTGGAAGCCAAATTGTTTTTTATTTTGGATTTTATTAAATACTCGTACAATCTGTTGTAGATTACTCGTTCGAGAAGCTTAGAGAAGGTAGAGAGTACTGAGATAGGTCTATAGTTATTAATTAAGTATGATTCACCTGTTTTAAATATTGGTACTACTTTAGCTACTTTTAACTTGTCTGGTACAACTCCTGTTTTAATCGAAGACTTGAAGATTTCAAATATAGGTTTATTTATCACTGTAAAGACATTTGCCACTATCCTACTACAGATATCGTCTATTCCTGGAGTTTTATTTAATTTTAAGGAGTTTAGTGCAACATTAAGCTCTTGATAGCTTAGTTCTTTGTATTTTAGTTCGCTCTGGGGATCATTTAGATATGATTCAAACGAGTTATTAGGATATTCAATTTTTAGGATATTCAAGATTAGGGCCAATGTTAACAAAAAATTCATTGAATTTTTTAGCAATTTTATTTTTGTCACTGTACTCTATATTGTCTATGATAATTCGAGCAGGCAAATTATTTGATTTAGTTTTTTTGTTCCCAATTATTTCTTTTATAATGTTCCATGTTTTTTTAATGTCACCAGTTGCATTTTTTATTTGCTTCGAGTAGTAGTTTTTTTTTGAATTTTTTTTAATTTTTTCAAATAAATTTTTGTATTGCTTGTAGGTATTTAGGTTTTTTTCATTTCTATTTTTTAAATATTTGATGTAAAGTTTTTGCTTTTTTTTTGAAGATTTTTTTATACCTCTAGTAATCCATGGACATTGTAAGTATTTTACTTTTAATTGTTGTTCTATAATTGGGAAGTGATTATTATAATGCTTTAAGAATATTTCTAAAAACTCATTATAAGCAGAGTTGGTGTGTCCAAGGTTGCATTTTTGGTAAATCTTATCCCATCTCACTGCCGATAGTGAGTCTTTAAACTGTTGAATAGTAAATTTATTAATTTTTCGTTTATAGACTTTGGTTTTTGAGTTGTTTGTTTTTGTATCTTGAAACAAAGAAAAGTATATCGGAAAGTGATCGGATATATCCGTTTTGATTACACCTGCTTTTAATGAAGAATCATAAAATGAATTAGTCAATATGTTATCTATTGCAGTGATTGAAGTTGATGTTACCCGGGTGGGTTTGTTTATTATAGGGAAGATGTAGTGTTGAAACATATCATCAAAAAAAATTTTGGTAACAGCATCTTCATTGTACTGTAAACAGTTTATGTTAATGTCTCCAATACAGAATAATATTTTGTGCTCTTTATTGTTTTTTAGAAATATTTGTTTTAGATGATTAGAAAATTTTTTTATATCACCTTCAGGTAGTCTGTAACAGGTGGGCACCAGTATATTTTTTAACTTTTGGTTTATTATTTCAATTGTAAAGACCTCACCATCGGCATCAGAAACAGAAAGATCGTCTCTAACTTTAGTTGTCAGATCATTATGAATATATGTCATAATTCCACCACCTCGTTTTTGAACTTTTCGCTCGTAAGATATTAGTTTGTAGTTCGGAATTAATAAGTTTGAATTTATTCTGGATGATTCGTCAGAACACCAGGTTTCTGTTAAGCAAATCATACTGAACAAAAAATTACATTCTACAAGAAAATGTTTTAGCTTGTCAATATTGTTAATTATACTTCTTATGTTTATGTGTATAACCGTAAAGTTATTATTTAATGATTTTAATTCATTTTTAAAAGTTTTTAAATCAAAAAGTTTTTAAATCAAAATATATCTTCATCAAGTATGAATATATTCTGATCATCCATGTCATTTTTTTCACTTTTAGAAGTTCTTTGAAATAGTAAGACAGGGCCTTCTACTTTTTGGTAAAAAAAAAAATTAAACTCAGTAATGTCCGTGAAAAACTTATTTTTAGTAACTTTAACCCCTTGAGGCAGCTCAAGACATAATTTTAGGAAAATTTATTCGAGCATTATCGAAGGGCAATTTTTGTTGCTATTACAAATCAATACTCTACTTTTTATATTTTCACATATAATCTCACTGCACCCTACTATACTTGTGTTTTAAAGTTTTTTTAACTGTAGCATATTAAGCAAAAAAGCTCTTTAAATTTTATAATAGATAAGTGTACAATAAAAACGTGTTAGCGAACGATTGGAACATTGTTATATTATTGAAGCAGTTAAAAAAACAACAAAAAACAACTACTACACGATACTAAGTTTCTTTTACATAAATAGTTACATGCTATTTATATGCATGGTAGATAATATCAAAATATTAAAAAAAAATTAAACATTTTGATTTTAGATATTTAACAGAATAGTTCTAAAAATAATATGAAGATCAAGATTATCATAACCTCTTGAAAATAAATAAAAGCAATACTAAATATTGCATATATATATATATATATATATATATATATATATATATATATATATATATATATATATATATATATATATATATATATATCTGAGCTTTTACAATGTAATGAAAGTTATTAGGCTTGGTTGTAAGAAAAAATTAACACGAAAAGGATACGCATAAGCTACACATAATGTGCAAGTTTCATCTTTATCAGAACAAAAATATAACAAAATGAGAAATAGAAAAAAACAAAAAACATTGCATTATTAATATAAACAATACAACCTAAATTTAATTTAAGAATAATAATTAAATTCGGAATAAAACAAATGGTAAAATTATTAAAAACGGAAGTAAAATATTGTACAAAAAATATCCGTAAAACAATCACTAATTTTTTATTACACTCTGAATGTTTTCGGCGTTTGTTCCGTCAAAGTTTTATTCGAATTACTGTTTCCAATGCGATTCGTATTTCTAGAAGATGTTCTTTTAGATGTGTTTGAAATGTTAGTGAAGCTATTCTGCATGCTAGGAGCGCGTTCTGTTGGGTTGCATAAAAAACTACTGCGACTAAAAGGACTCTCTGCAACGGCATTCTTAATAAAAGAACATTGGATGAAAGATTTTTAAAAAAAAACTTTGTAGTCAAAAAGCCCTATAGGTCGTATAGGATTTTAGCAAAAAAATAAAAAAAATTAATAACCAAAAATACTTTTAAACGATCCTAGAGAACTTGTTGACTAAGGCTACCATGGTATAGTATAATATCAAGATATATTTCATACTGCTAACTTTAAATTAATGTTAGCAGTATGAAATATATTAATTTCAAAAAATTAATTTCAACCAACATACAAAAATTCAAATTATAAAATGCGGTCTCAATTGCTGGTTGTAAATAAAATGTTGCAAATGTGTAATTTTTTTGTTATTATTTTTAAAATACGTGTTGAATTTTTAGTTGGTCTATTAAAAATCTTGAAAATGTAAATAAATGAAAATTAGAGACCCTTATAGCTCATAGTACTTACAGAAAAGTCATTATAAGACACCAAAGATGCATTCGGGTTTGAATTTTTAAATATTGACCCACTCACCACCGACACATCCAAATGGCTGTCTATAGCATTTCCATTCTTTTCGCTAAGAACTCTTTTAGCTGAAGCAAGGCGCACGGAACGACGCTTTAAACTTTTTCTTCGAGATTCGTTTTGTATCTAAAATTTTCAATAAAAAGCAAAATTTACTATAACGTCAAGACCTATTTTGGAGATTTCTGACGTTTAATTTAATACCATCAAAAAAGTTTTAACGCATTAAAGTCCACATAATAACTTGTGCAACTCTATAAGGGACGTGATCATGTGTTTTGGATCCTCAATCACTATGAAAATCACTAATTGATTTAAAACTACGTGGAAGCAATAATCAATTAAAAAAAAATCACCTGTACAGCACAATTTACATCTAATTTTATTTTGGGCATTAAAGAAAACACTTAGAATTATATTATAAAGAATTGAGAAACACGATGCAATCGAAATAATTGGAAAAAAACACAACAAAAAAGTATTATTATACAACAAAATCAAATTAATTTCAAAACAATATTTTTGTTGTCAATGATACGTTTTTGACAAAACTGTAAAAGATGTATAGAATTTAAAGAGAATATGTGCTACACCAACTGAGGGTTAGGGCTGTGGTAGCAATAGATTTTTTCGATATTGTATAGAAATAATTTGGCATTTTTTAATGGAAAATGTATATCTATATATGCTATAGTATATACGAACATATATATATATATATATATATATATATATATATATATACACACACACACACACACACACACACACACACACACACACACACACACACACACACACACACACACACACACACACACACATAAATAATGCATACCAAATATTTTAAAATTTAAATAAGATGAATATTCAAGACACTACAGTAACATTGAAATCAACTTATCAAGAAAACAACAACAACCTTGTTTATTTTAGCAGTTTTATTTTTAACAGCTTTCTTTAAAACATTGACCACTAAAGATTTTGCTGAAGTCAGATTATTTTCTTTAAAGTGGACAGGGTGGCGTGGCGAAGAAAATAGTGATGAGTGAACAAAACGTCCAGGAGTGCCATGAGTAATATCCATCTAAATAAATTCAGCAGACACTAAATTTGCTATTAGTTTCAGTGATACCAAACTATAATGAATATAGAAATAGATCAAATATAAAATTAAAATCTTAACACAACCTTTGGTGTTTTAGCTTTTCCTGGGGTTCCAACATGTTTTCTAAAAAGAAATTTTTAAATGTAATAAAATATTTGCTTATTTTCATTATAAGTATCTGATAACACAAGACTGTTAAAAGCTTTTACCGTTTTGAACTTGTTGATCCAAACTTTAACTCGTTATCTAATTCTTCTAATTTTACTCGTAACTAAATATTATTTATATTAGACAATAAACTATATGTAACATATTTATATTACTCTCTCTTTATATGAGTCTCTCAGTGCAAACTTCCATTAACTCCACTCCAATACTATTTCATTGCTTTTCTCCAATTTTATTTTTATGGAGTTGATCAAAAAGTGGACTGAGAGGCTAATATATATACTATTGCACTTACTATTATTTTAGGTTTACTCAGTATTAACTTATTCTAATGTATATGCATACACAGTATAAATTTAATCTAATGTATATGCATACATATATACATACACAATATATATGTATATACATTTAAAATGTATGTATATACATACATACATTTTAAATGACAACATCTTTTATGAGAGTTAAATTAATTTAATATTTGCACATCAATGAATAAAAATCCTCTCAATAATAATTTTTTTAATTAAATTTTTAATACTAGCATCTTCAGCTTTAATTACAAACTATTATATATATTTAATTAAAAACAAACGGTAACTTTTTAATGGCTTTTTTAAAGTTCGCTTTATAATTATAATAAATATAGCATCCAGAATTGCGTTTTTATGTATTGACCATCAAACTAATATCTCTATTCGTAGGTCCGCATTAGTTAAACTATATTTTAATTGATTCTCGAATTTTTTTTCAAATTTTTTAGGTTTTATTTTTAATGTTTTTACTTGATCCCATTTTATATGGCATGGTCATTTAAATCTATGATGCCCAATTGCAGATTGTACCTATTTTTCTTCAAATTCATTTTTTTTTAGTGTTGTTTTGTTGTTACTATTTTTGTTTTTGTTTTGCTGATGTTTTTTTTTTTTTTTCACTTGCATTCTATTAGGTATACTTTGGGAAAGTTATTTGATAGTAGTTTTGTTTTGTTGCGTGTTAGAAAAGATTTAAGATTTGCACTAGATTTAAAAGTGTCTTGTAACCTGCTTTCCTGAAGATTTTTTAAAAAGTTTTGGTGATAATATTGGGATCCATGGTAGTAATATAATTGGCATTGTTGCTTCGTTGTTAGAAAGATTATTAAATTATTTGAACGAAGTTTTTTAATAGTATTTGGAAGGTTTTGTAATTTTTCTTTTCGTATCCATTTCCAGTAAACACATCTATTAGAAAATTGATTTCTTTAGTTAAAATTTTTTTAGAGAAAATTGATAAAGCTCAGTAAATAAATCTTTTAAATATTCCTTCTAAGATTTTTGGATCGTGGTTTGAATTGGGTTTAACCTGAATATTTGTTATTGCTTTTTTTCGATGTATGTTAAAATCATAATTACCTTTTTGATTGTTGGATATACCATGCCAACTATATCACTACCGCAAATCCCAATATTATCACCAAAACTTCAGGAAAGCAGGTTACAAGACAGTTTTAAATCTAGTACAAATCTTAAATCTTTGCTAACATGCAAAAAAATAAAACTACTATCAAATAGCTATCCCAGCGTATACCTAATAGAATGCGAGTGTAAACAAAAAAATATCGATGATATAAAATAAATCTTTAATGATGTGATAGAAAATAAATCTTTGCTAACACGCAAAAAAACAAAACAGCGTATACCTAATAGAATGCGAATGTAAACAAAAATATATCGATGAAACAAAAATAAAAATAACAACAAGAACAAAACAACACCAAAAAAATGTATTTAAAGAAAAATGGGAACAATCTGCAATTATGCATCATAAATTTAAATGTCCATGCAATATAAAATGGAATCAAGTAAAAACATTTAAACCAGAACACAAAAAATTTGAAATAAAAGTTTGAGAATCAATTGAAATATATATATATATATATATATATATATATATATATATATATATATATATATATATATAATATTTATGGGTCCAGTTGGTACAACATAGGTGTGTTCTATGTAATAAAATACAACTGGACTTTAAAACTAGATCTAAGGCTTGAATTAAATGATCGAAAATTGCAATATCTAGGAATGCTTTCAGTTTTTAAATTTTCAGCTTTTTAAAATTGGTAAACTCTGTTTTAATCACTAAACTCAAAAGCTGTTATTCAATAAAAAAATTTTATATTGATTTTTAATTATGATATAAAATCATATTATAAAACCATATTACTACTGATGTTTTTATTATTATTAAAGATTATGGTCTGAACTTTGATACTTTAATTCATTTTATAAATCATTAGATAAAACTAGAAAAATAAAGCACTATAAAGCATGATATTATTATCAAAAAATAACCACTAATCACAACAGTCTAAAGGAATTTAGCTATGATCAAATATTTTAAATAAAAGAAATCACAAAATAAGATATAAAATATTTTTATATCTTATTTAAATCTTATTCAATATTTTCTTATAAATTAAATGTTCATAACTCTTTGGCAGATATGTATACCAAATTAAAGACAGAGGAGTTTAATATGTATAAAAACTGATATAAACTTTTTATAATTATTTTAAAACAATCTAATGACTTATTTTAAAATATATCTTTTTTATTGTTATTTTTTTTTTTTATTATAAATTACTTAATTTTTAATTTAAAACATATAAGCTTTTAAATAAACTCCTCAAATTTTCCCCCTAATCAAAAACTAATTATAATGTTTCATACATTGTTCAAATAGCTTTAGCATAATTTTTTATTGGTTAATTTTTAAATCACTGCTCAATTTTTCTGATCTTTAGTAAATTTTTTTATTTATAATCCTAAAATTACCTGGTATTTAAACTGAAAAAAAAAAAACAATTAAAATGATGCAAGTTTTGTCTGTTATTTTTCTATTAGCAAATTTACTGTTTTGTTTTTTATTAATCTTTGCATTATATGATAAATTGACCTTTTCATTAAAACAGTGTTCATGATTAAATAAACTGAGAATTTAATGACCAGAAACATTTCTAGATGTTGTGATTTGCGGTCACTTAATTCAAGCCATGAGATTAACAAATTGTTATATAAAATTGCTAAAAACTTTTGTGGGTCCCTAATACTATTTAAAAAAAACAATATCAAGTTATTATTATATATTGTAAACCTTTTTTTTTTTTTTTTTTGTTTAATCTTTTTTTAGCTAAAAGTACTAAAGCTAAATTTTATAACCATTAAAAAATTGAGATGTATGACAACATTTCAACTAACATTTAAAATTTGATTAACACTTTTCAATTTAGGAACCTTTTATAAATTTTAAAAGATTCCAGTTTTTTTCCAGTTAAGTCGAACTTTGGATGATATGAGATATTAGTTTGAGTTAAAGCGATTTTTTTTCATTCAATGCTAAGATATAAAAATTAAGTGTACACCAACATGCTAACAAAAAAGTCAAAAATGTTTCAGTGAAAGTAGTAATATATTGCATTCATGCTGTACACTCAAAAGTTAACATTGAAAAAAAAAGTCTAACAACACAATAATATCCTTATTTATTTTGGTAATAAAATTACGTCTAAAATCTTTTATTAAGAAATTTATTAAAGCTATAATTGCTTTTTTAACATTATTTTATCATGATTTATTTTGCAACAGTTTTATTTTAGCATTATTTTACGGCTGATAACAATTCTTTTCAGATCTATATACAATGAAAAAATATACAAATTATTATGCTCATGTTTTTTATGTTTTTTACATGAAATGACTTCTTAAAAAATATATATTTAATTTTTTTTTTTTAATTTCCTAATTTCCCATACAAAAAGTTTGAGTTAACCATAGAAATTTGATGAAAAGGAATAAAAAAATGGTTTGACCAGAGAGTTTTAATAGTAATCAGTTATTTTCAAGAGACCAAATGAAATAGTTTGAGATAACAAAAGTTTGATTTAACCGGTATTCGACTTGCCAGGAATTAACAGTATTGCTTAAACACAGGCATAGTTCCATAAAAGTGTGAAATTTGCACACAAAAATGTCTATTTGGGACACCATTTTATTTAAAAACTTTAAATAAGATTAGAAATGGAAATTAATCTAATATGTTACACCCTGTCCTGGCTAACTTTTTAAACAACACTGTAATTTTCCCAAATATTTTCTATAGATTGTGACGCATAATTTGAAGACTCCGAGTGATTGAAAAAAATGGAGAAGACAAGCTTCGGCGAAAACAACAACATTTGTTTTTCACGGTATGCATTCATTATTTATTTTATTATACCTTTTTTTTTAACATTATCTTTAATATGAACACAACATGTGTTGGGAGTTTGGGATCCCTTTAAAACAAATTTATTGAAAAAATAAAAAAAGTAAAATCTGTTAAAATTTAACTATAATGGATTATATTGTACTTAGTACTGTATATAAAAAAAATTGATAACTTATTTTCTAAGAAAAATATTTATCTTGTGTATTTTTAAGTTAGCTTCACTTAATTACTATTTTTATTATGCTAGTTTATTCTAACTCAAACACTTAATGATACGCTGAACAAAAAAAAAAGCATGCTAGAGAGAATGTTTTTTATAACCACCACAGACAAAATATGAAGAGGAAAACCCAATCTAAATGTGTAAAACTGAACTGAGTTTAAAAAACTCTGCGGTGAGCAAAAACATTTATTATTGAAACCAGATATTTTTTTAACAGAAAAAACTATGCAGATTTGAGAGCCTAAAATTAGGGTCTGAACTGGAAGTGTAATGGCAAAGCAACAAATATTTTTTTAAATATCTTATTCAATAATATGTTTTGGAAAGCTTAATTAACTTTAAACTTATTTTCTGATGTTTATCTATGATATGAACACAACTTGTCTCGGCACTTAGGGATCCCTTTAAAAAATTAGCAATCAAAATTTTATTTATTTCTTCTGTTTAAAGAAAAAAAAACATAAAAATGCAGGAAGTGTTATTAAAAGTGATTATTTTTCAGTTGCTATTAGAAAAATGAAAGATTCTTTTGTCAATTGTTTTACAGAGTTCAGAAAGGAAACAATTGCTTTGTAATTTTAACGTTTTCTTTTTATCGCTAATAACAATTTATGATGGCAATTTTGACATTTAAAAATAATAACATTTTCAAATAAATGCTATAAAAATACCTAAAAATCTAAATAATAAAAAAACAATTTGTTATTAAAATCATTTGAAGTGGTCAAAAATCAAAAGTAAAAGATTATAATCAAAAAACAAGATCATTTGTTGGATTGTTAATAGAGTATTAATTCCATTATATTATTAAGTCATAATTTATTGACAGACTTCATCACACATTGTGATTTTTACACATATATATATATATATATATATATATATATATATATATATATATATATATATTATATATATATATATATATATATATATATATATATATATATATATATATATATATATATATATATATATATATATATATATATATATATTAATAACCTTACCTTTTCTTCTTTTTTTTCTTTTTGACATTCTTCAAATTCATTTTTTTGAATTTCAATATAGTCAACATAACGATTGCCATTAAACAAAAAATATGATTCGTTTTCACGCTCCCATACAATTATTTTTTTTCGTAATTCATTTTCAACCTTTAATCAGAAAGCCAAACAAAATGCTTTATATTAACCACCAACATGTTACAAAAGTTTAACAATTTTATGTATTCACCAGAGCACACAAATACTTGCATGTTAGCTTAATAAAAAAAAATTATCTACTACAAATAAAATACTTTGGGAAGCTCTTTTTCTACAGACTTTCTTGTTTTTTCTTCTTTTAACAATGCACCACCTCGATTGTTTAAGCGATTAGTATCAGTAGCACGGCTCTTTATTAAAAAAAAAGTTCCATGTATAACAATAAATCATAATTAAATTTTCATTTCAAAAATAATTAACGATGCAGCAATTAATGTTTGAAAAACATGTAATAACAATAGAAACTAATTTAAGTAAATATATAATAACTTTTAATAATTTTTTAAATAACTATAAAAGTATATTGGAAGTGTAGGTCTACACTTTCTAAAAGCAAGCTTTAATACTTAATACTTTATTCTTTGCATTAATCTGTATACTTGTTTTAGTACATGCATCAGGGTTGTTTTGATCTAAATCAATTGATTTAAAACAGTTGATTTAAATCATGATTTAAATTGGACAAAAAAAAAATCATAATTTAAATTGAGTTTTTTGATTTTAATTGTTTTTAATGATTATTGATTTATTAACATAAAGTTTTATTAACTTAAAGTAAAATTAAACTTGCTAAATAACTAAAAAACACTAGCTAAAAATAACTCCTGCATAAATTAGTATTAGTTATTTAAGTCAGGTAATGCATTATATAATATATATTAGTCATATAAATCATTATTTTAATTTTTAAATTTATTGTAAGATTTTATCCATTTAAGTAAATTTTTTGTTTCATATTTTAATTTATTGATTAATTACTATTTTTGTTACTATTTATATAATATATAAATAATATATATATATATATTTATATAATATATAATATACAATATATAATATATAATATATATATATATATATATATATATATATATATATATATATATATATATATATATATATATATATATATATATATATATATATATATATATATATATATATATATATTTATATATATAAATGTATTCCTTTTATATAAGAATATATTCAAATTTTTTTTTATAAACCACAGTATTTATAATTGCTTGTTACTTTTTAGTTGAAAATAAAAATAATATAACTAGAAATAAAAATGTCTGGCGCCGCTATAAAAAGATATGCAAAAAGACATGGTTTGAAGAAACACCTGGAAAGTTTGGGAAAAAAAAAGTAATAAAGCTAAATACAAAAGCTGCAATGTACAAATGTAAGATTTGGTTGCCCAAATGAGAAACCACAAAAGTGTTGATAAATGTAATTTTTTGAAGGATGTTCAAGATGATGAAAATATTATCATTTGTTAAGATACTGTAGAAAATATCAACCAGATAACTGAAGAACCACAAACTAGTCAATATTCTGTTAAGAAAACTGATTCTAGCCAATCTACTGTTTTTAAAGCAAACTTTTTGTGTTCAAATAAAAAAAGAAGTAACAAGACCAAGCAGTGGCAAGACCAAGCAGTGACAAGACAGTGACAACTAAATTGTATTCATACCTTTAAAAAAAATTAAAACCACAAAATTTGAAAAAGAAGCAAATGATGAGCAGATAGCAAGAATGATTTATACTACTAACTCGCCTTTCAGAATGGTTGACCATTCAGAGTTTAACAAAATGGTTAACCATCCAGAGTTTATCAAAATGATCCATTTTTTAAACCCAGGATTTAACCCCTCTAACATAATTAAAATTGGTGGAAAACTACTAGATATTGTTCACAAGAACAGTTTTGCTTGAGCTAGTTGTTCAGGTTTGCTTCATGATCAGTCTGTAACCATGAGTATTGATGGGTGGAGCAATGCCTAATGAACAAATAATTTGTGCAACAGAAACAACAAGGAATTCAGATATCTTGCAGATACAATTGATAACTCCATACTTCTGATTATTTGATTGACATGTCAAAAATGAGACAATAATTGAAAACTCAAGATAATGTTAATGGGATTACCTATGGATGTTCAGCTCATATTCACAATCTATTGGCCCAATATTTGGCAATTCCAAACATCGAGGAGCAGATAGTTCAATTTGTTAAATATTTTAGAAACAACCATTTTGCTGCTGCTACATACAAAGCAAAAAAGGAATTACAACTTACAATGCCCCAAAATGTCAGGTGGAACACATTGGCTGATTATCTTGAATCCTATATAAAATACTAGTCAATTCTGTAAACAATTAGTGAAGTAAACAGATCAATAATTTATAAGAATATTACCACGATTACGATGTTCAAACTATAAAGCCAAGTGATTGATGGATTTCATAATGATTGTGTGAATCAGGAATTACTGAAAGTTGATCAATTAATGCTGTTGCTTTATCTACATGAGTTGAAAGAATTTTTCATCATTTGGTCTTGTGCATTCAAACATTAGAAATAGACTCAGAATTAAGAAAGCAGGCAAAATGGTTTTCCTATTCAAACCATTTAATCAAATAACATTAGAATCAATGAATTTAATTGATTAAATCTTTGAAAATTTGTAAATAATCAACATTAAAAAGATTTTTCAATGTTTTAAATTGATTTAGTTATGATTTCATTATATTTTTAAAAACTAACAATGTGTGTATCATTCGAAAAAATCTGATTTAAACCAAAAAAATCTAATATAAATCATAAAAATCTTTTTTTTTTTTTTTTAAAAAAAATCACGATTTTCATCAACCCTGATATACACATACATTATGTACATGTCAAGGTTGATAAAAAACGAGATTTTAAAAAAAAAAAAAAAGATTTTTTATTATTTAAATTGGACTTTTTGGGTTTAAATCAGATTTTATTTGTACTAAAATATGTACTTTTTAAAAAACAGAACAAGCAGCAAAACAGATTTTGTTGAAATTTTAATTCAAGACTGCACTCAATTAAGTTCCAGTTGAGTTGAAATTTAATAATGTATATGTGTGTGTGTATACACACACACACATACACACACACACACACACGCACACACACACACACACACACACACACACACACACACATATATATACAGACCTTGTTTTAAATAAAAAAACAGCTTAGCAAATTAGCTTGTTGTGATTTTGACGACATAAAATTATTTTTATTTTTTTTATTTAAGGACATTTATTTACTTAACTAGTGTAAAGTAACTTTACATATTTTCGCACATCACTCAATCTTGCCCACCATCTTTAATTGCTTATATGTCAGTTAAATTATATGCTGCACCATCAAAAAGACAATCTTTTAGAGCAGATAACCAGCCTTGTCAATATTAAAACAACTTTTACCTCAAAAGAATTGCAAAATAAAAAGTCTCTTAAAGAAAATTTGTTAATTTTTGGTAATTTTTTGCTATAATTTTAATAATTTAATTTTGCTATAATTTTATTAATTTGCCAAATTCAAACCAGCTGATGCAAATCTACCGAGTTAATTATTTATGCATGTTAAATTATAATTTAATTTTGTTCTCCACTGTTAAATCTCTGATTGTAATAACATTTATAATCATTTGAAATGATAGAATATGCATAAAATTGTTTTCTGCTCAACCTACCAAATTAACTCAATCTTGCCCACAGAATAAATATATTGTCGCCCAATGCATTTAACCTCGCCTGGGTGGGCAAGAATAGATGCAGCATAAAATATTAAGACTTACGCTACCAGCAATTTTATTAGAAAAAAACCTTTTGCTGTAATCCCCATTATTTTTTCATTAAATTGGGATGACATATTTAAAAAAATAATTGAAAAACAAAATCATAAAATTTTGTAAAGATACATATTAAGAGCATAGTCTTTTTGAATGCTTAAAAAGGAGTATTTTTTAATGTATTTTTATTCTATATATTATTGAGGAAATTATTTTATAAACCAATTACCTTTAATTCAATATCCTTGGCGTTATCGTAAAAATAAACCCCAAACTTACTTAATAATTGCTTAGACAAAAATTGATGATATCCACATTTGATTGCCTTCAAAAATACTCTTCTTCTGTGTGTTGTTATTAAGGAAATTAATTAAAAAATAAATTGCTATGGCTTTACGTTGAGTAAATCAAAAGCTCATGTTCATCAAAACCAAATATATTAGCTAGATAAAGAACAAAGACTTTGTCTGCTATTGCATTTTCTTTTCCTGATAATTATTGGTAAGAAAGAATTTGGAATTTTATCTTTTTATGCTATGATTTTTTTTAGAAATAATTTTTTAGTGTTTAAAAATAATGCATTTTCAATTTAAGAACTAATGTTTTAGTTATTAAAATAACTAAAACATTAGGTCCAAAACTTTAGGCTCAAAAGGTCCAAAACTCATTTTATGCATAATAAGAATGTTTTTATTCTTCTTTAATAGACTTTTGTAATTACTTAGCTAAATGCTTATTTGCTTCATAGTAAATTAAGTACTGCGAAGTTCTAGGGTTGAGATTAGGTTACAAATACTAACATATGGTTTTCACCATGTTTTAATATTTGTAGAAAATTTGGAGCACTTTATTAAATTAATATGACATTTATACTGCAATTTTTTTTTTATTTATAATCAATTTATCTAAGTATTGACTTAAAAAAAAAAAATTGTTACAACAAGAGGTGTGGGATGTAGATCATCACCAAGATTTCAGAATGTCGGTTGGATTGCTTCTGTAACAGAGGCTACAATATGTTATAATACAACTCATTTTTATGATGGTATAACTCCTTCAACATCTAGTAGTAGTACTCTTGACATTTGCCAAATGAAACAGCTACCAACAATTGATGTTTCTTTAACTTGTGTCAATGGTTCTAATCATTCCATTGATCAATCAGTCCCTGTTAAGAAACAAGGTAAATTCCTGAAATGGAGTGAAGAAAATATGATGAGTGCAATTAAGCATGTCAAATCAGAGCCATCCTTTGCAGTGCGTATGGCAGCAATGTTGTACAATGTGCCACGTAAAACACTGAGAGACAGACTTTCTGGAAAAGTTGTTATTGGAGCAAAGCCAGGAAAAAAACCCTACTCTTTGCTCTGGAAGAAAAACTTATTGATTATGTCAGCATAAGAGCAAAGTTATGGGTTTTAGAAAGTCACAGATCCTGAATTATGCTGGAAGACATTTTTAGAAAACATTGGTCCACAACGTCCTCAGTTATTGATTCTGGATGGGCATAATTCTCACAACTTTATTGAGCTAATTGATATTGCTATCCAGAACCAGATACATATAGTTGAAATGCCTTTACACGCATCAAACTGGCTTCAACCATGCAACTGTACCTTATTTAAGCCACTGAAGGATTATTATCGCTCTACAGGACAAAATCTGATGGGTCAGTTTCCAGGAATTATTACTTGTCATTCAAATTTTGTAAGGATATTTGCTTTAGCTTGGAAAAAAGCAATGACTTCTAGCAACATTACATCTGGGTTCAAGTCGTGTGGAATTTATCTATTTAATCCTCAGGCTAATCCTAGTGATGCATATTTACCTAACTATCTACACATAGCTGAGGATATATCAGTTAATACAACTGAAAACAGTTGTTCTTTGGTTATTATTGTACTATTGCGTTTTTGTTAATACTATTATACAATAAAAATTATTATTTAAACTTTAGCTAGCAACTGTGACTAATATTTTATGTACAAATTGATAAAAATTCTGGATGAAACATAAAGTTTACTAACTTGCATTTCAATAACATTATTTATTATTTTCTTAGGAATTCCAATCATCAATCGTTAAAGCAATTAATTTTTCAGACATTGATGCTTCTATAGATGCTGGAAAAGTTGCTAATTATCTAGAACAATTACAAAATGGCACTGAAGAAGATAAAGCAATACACAGTTCGTTATAAAGCAACACTTCTATTTTGGAAGCAGAGACTGTTGTTCGTAATAATCAGCTTGCATATTTAGTCAATCTAGTTGAAGAAAAAATGTTGACTGCATTTTGAATAATACCAATCTGCATTTTGAATTATTTTAAAACTAAAACTTTAATAAAGTTTTAGTTTTTTAATAATTCAAATTTTTTTAAATTATTTAAATACTTGTTCTTTTATTGAATATATATGTTTTTATCAATGCAGGTGATGGAGATGACGATGTCTTTGCATTTCCTAAGGCCACCACACCGAAAAAAGATAGCGAACAGAAAAGGTCAGCTTAAATACTTTGTTTAAACTTCTTAAGAAGCATACTCAGTAAAACTAAAATATCACCAAGACAAAATCCAACAGGAGAGAGAAAAACGTGAAAAAAAAAAACAACAACTGTGATTTGTTAATGCTGCTAAGCAACTCAAAAAAAAAAGAAGGAAAAAAGGTATTAGCTAAGAATAAAAAATTAGAAAATCGTACCAACAAGTCTATAGCAACAAAAAAAAAAAGAAGTCCATTTCATTATCAACCATTGGTTGATCCCGAGAACAATACTGACTAATATATACTAAATATTTGACAACATTTTTTTATATAGCTAAAAATGTATACAATTTCGTCTTATCTATATAAACTTTTTTATTATTTTTATTTAAAAATAATCTAATGGTCTTATTTGTGATAAGACCTAAAAGAGAAAGTTTGCATTCACAAAAACCCCATGGTTTTATACTTTTCTAATTAAAATGGTGCAATTGAGCATAGAAATTAACTAACAAGATTTAATCTCACTCACCTGTATATAACGTCGCCCTACGCAAGTATAAGTTCTTTTTTAATTTACACAGTGGGCGACTTTAAATCAACATGGCCAGATTGAGTTCAAGTGGGCGAGAATCACTGCTTTTGACACACTGTACAATTTATAATAATATTGCCAACTACTCTCATAAAATCTAAATAATTTTACATAGTTTTGTAGCTGAAGGAATAAGCTATCTAATGATGTATAGTTCAACTGTGCAAGTCTAATAATAGCCTGTCAACAACAATTTCAGTGCGGATGTGGGCGAGGTTCGATTAAGTTACCCTACCGCAAAACAAGTTTATTTTACTAATTAAGAAAAACAAATCTAGAAGTGTTATTTTCTAAATGTACATATTGTAAAATGTCTACTTTGTTTCAATTTTGTTTTTTGTTTTTTAATATTAAATAATTAAATTTAATATTGCAGTTAAATGATAATATATTTTATATTATCATTTAACCTAAATTAATTTCTTTCTTTTCTTGACATTTATATAAGAAAATTAAAATATCTTAATATTTTTTCCTTTATTTCTTAAAATTGCGCCTTTGCAAATAATATTTTTTTTGTTTTATAAAGTTATTAACAAATTCGGAGGGCTGTGTATATATATATATATATATATATATATATATATATATATATATATATATATATATATATATATATATATATATATATATATATATATATATATATATATATACAGTGAGTCCAAAAATTATTGGCCCACCTTTGCATAACTACTTTATTTTTGCTGGCATATAAGAACTATAGGAGAGAATTACTAAGTGTTAGTATCATCATGTTGTCTGTTATCACTTGTATATATACAACAAGTTTCAGCTTTTCAATTACTTTCATTCTTGTTTTATTGAGAAAACAGTGTAAGTTTGTTCAAATATTATGCACAAAAATTATTGGCCCAGAGAAAAGAAAAGAAAGTAATACTTCCAAAAAGTTCTAGAACTTTCGTGTTTTTTTCAGAATGTTATAGAATTGTGTCGACGCTATATCTAGAACCACTAATCATAGTATAAATAATTGCGGATTTCTTCACTAAATGATAATTTACTAAAATGGCACCTGATTCTCAACGAGAAATTGCTGCTAAGACATTACTTCCTCGAGAGACAGTACGATACATAATTAAGAAATACAAACAGACGAAATGTATCGGTAATTTATTCAGACATGGTCGAAAAAGAAAAAGCATTGGCAGATTTATGTCGAAAACAACCGAAACCAATGTTTCGGTTGTTTTCGATTTTTTTACTTTTTTTGTGTACTATCAATCGATTTGTCATCGATTGATAGTACGCAAAGTTAAGTCCGATCGACATAAATCTGCCAATGCTGTGAAGATCGAGGTCGAGACCAAACTAGGACACGCCAATACCATTCGAAATAGACTTCGCGAAGCTGGACTTTATGGTCATGTAGCACGAAAGAAACCATTAGTCAACAAAATCAATAGAGTTAAACGACTGAAATACGCAAAAACAATGTTGAACAAGCCGATAAGGTTTTGGGAAACTGTCATTTGGTCCGATGAATCAAAATTTAATTTGTTCGGGTCTGATGGAAAAGTAATGGTATGGAGAACAGCCAAGGAAGAATTCGATCCACATTATACTGTGGCTAGGGTCAAGCATGGTGGTGGTTCTGTTACCGTTTGGGGTTGTTTCACGCGAAATGGAATTGGTGAATTATGTATTTTGGACCATACAATGGACCGATTTTATTATCGTGACATCATAGAGCAGCATTTGTTACCATCGATCCAAAATTTAATTTTGGACAAGAATTTTTTTTTCCACAATAATGATCCCAAGCATACATCAGGTCTAGTCAAGGATTGGCTCAAACAAAACAATATTCAAACATTAGCTTGGCCTTCATCCTCGCCTGATCTCAATCCCATAGAACATCTATGGGATGAGATCAACCGGATGAAGAAACACAAGCCGAAAAATATCTACAAACTTGGAGACCTCTTGAAGAACGAATGGAATAACACCGAATTGTCTGTTCTCCAGAGACTTGTTGATTCAGTACCAAGTAGATTACAAGAATGCATCAAGATGAAAGGTTACCCAACACGATACTAGATTCGATGAAATACCTGTTTCGTGATGGACAAAAATTTTTTTCTTTTCTCTGGGCCAATAATTTTTGTACATAATATTTGAACAAACTTATACTGTTTTCTCAATAAAACAAGAACGAAAGTAATTAAAAAGCTGAAACTTGTTGTATATATACTAGTGATAACAGACGACACGATGATACTAACACTTAGTAATTCTCTCCTATAGTTCTTATATGCCAGCAAAAATAAAGTAGTTATGCAAGGGTGGGCCAATAATTTTTGAATTCACTGTATAAATATATATATATATATATATATATATATATATATATATATATATATATATATATATAAATATATATATATATATATATATATATATATATATATATATATACTATATATATATATATATATATATATATATATATATATATATATATATATATATATATATATATATATATATATATATATATATATATATATATATATATATATACATATATATATACATACACAAAAAAGACATTACAATAAACATAAGGTTTGAGTTACTTAGGGCCAAAAAAATCAAAACTAAATAATCAACTTGAAAAATAAAAATAAATCATAAAAACATTAAAAGTATTGCAAGTAAAAATAAACACAAAATACCTCAAACTCAACTTTCTTTTTCCACAAATTTTCTCTCTTTTCGACAAGCTTAAAAAGCTCTTTGTTTTCTTCATAGTAATTTTTAAGTGTAGCAACTTGGTGCTCGTGTTCAGCTAATGTATCTTCTGTATAAATATCTAATTCAATTCATAAGTAAAATGTTAGAAAAGGTTTATTTTAAAATGCTATTGTATTATTATGCATTTTTTTATACAAATTTTACTATAACATTAATGTCTGCACAGACTTACCCAAAATATAAAAAAAGTTTTTAAAAATAATGATGTTCATTTTAAAGAAGCTTTGCAAAGATAAGTAGTAGACTTTAGCAGAAATGTATTGTGAACACATAAAAATTTCAGACTACTTATTAGTTTTAGAGTAAATTCAGGGCTGCCACTCTAATTCTGTAATAAAATTATTTGAAATTTTGCCAATATTTCTATTATTTTTAATAGAAAACTTCGACAAAAACCCCCATACACATTATTTTCACCCCCTCCCACCAAAAAAAAAAGCAACCAACCAACAACAACAAAAACTTTATTCTGCTCCTCAAGTTCTGATATTTCTGGATTCAACATCACATTATTTGCAATTCCTTTTGTTTGCAACTCTCTATTTTCCTCTAGATAATATTCTTTCCTCTAGTTTTAATATTTCAACGAGACGTTTTAAACAGCCTTTATCATTTCATTGTTGATTTCGAACATCTTGTTTGATAATTAAACTCATTAAGCTTTAATCAGTTAAAAACAAATCTTTAAAGAGATGGAAACAACAGGACGCCTGCCTAATATCTTGCTAAAATTTTCTGCAACAAACTAGCTATGTAACCAAAAATTTCAATTTAGTGAAAGTTAATTCAACATTCCTTTTAAATTTCATAACTCTTGCATTTTGGTTGCCTACTTTTAGAAAGAGCCTTCCAATACTTTATCATTTTTTAAATATTTGTCTAAATTAAACATGTTTGCTACTTTTTGGTATCTGAGACAGTGTAATGAGCAAAATGCATAGAGAAATTTTTTACATTTAGTGACACATAATCAGCTCTTCTGGCAGAAGAACCATAGAACAGGTTGCATGAAGCTTTTATTAACTTCCCTGATTGAAAACTAGTTTTAAAAAAAACATAGATTACATGGAGGTTGCAACTCCTAATTTTAAGGTAACTTTTGTTGCTCACAATGCTTTTTAATAAGATAAAGAAGTAACCGGTTTACTTTTTAATAAGATAAAGAAGTAACCGGTTTACTTTTTAATAAGATAAAGAAGTAACCGGTTTACTTTTTAATAAGATAAAGAAGTAACCGGTTTACTTTTTAATAAGATAAAGAAGTAACCGGTTTACTTTTTAATAAGATAAAGAAGTAACCGGTTTACTTTTTAATAAGATAAAGAAGTAACCGGTTTACTTTTGGGGAACACGTACAGAGTATTGTTAGATTTGTGCAATTATTCGTTGCCAAGGATGTGATCATACTTTCAAGTAAATTTTTTGCATTTGAGTAGTCCAAAAATTGAGAGTCAAAGTATTTGTATTCAACATGATTTAGACTGCTGTTCCAAAAAATATTTAGATCCATTTGAATCTTTTTAAAGGTATGCTTAAACAATGCCCAAGACCAAAATTATCTCATAGAATTTAGCAGTTGCGCTATCAGGGAACATTTTCTGATATAGTAGACCATTCTCATTACAGGAGTTCAACAAGATATTTTGTACTGCATGCAAAACATTATAGATTTCTGCATAAGTTTTATCAGATTGATTTACTAAAACAACTGCTTGCTTTTTGAATGTAGACTGTGCAGGCTTGAAGTAGCAGGATATTGGATTTGACTTCTGCATAGTTTTTTTCCTCTGTGTGACTTGTTATAGCTTACTAATCCACATTTGATAAGTTAAATTGAACTTGGCATGTTTTGCACTTGGCTGACGTTTTATCTGTGCCATTTGCCAGCCATTTTTAAAACAATTGATCAACTAACCATTTTTTATTGAAATAAGCTGCTATTTGAAAATTTTTATTTATTCTAGAAAAAGATAATAAAAATATAATATGATTTTAAAAAAATTTGAAATTCTCCACATGTTGCAGTTATTTCTACACTAAAACGGACATAATAAATTTATTTAAATTATTAACAATGATTCCACTCAATTCTATATAAATATTTTGCATAAATTTTTTACTTGGTTTATAATGTAAATAAATGACCAGAATAAAAGTTTTTTTTATAATGATCAAATATTATATAACTGAACAATTTTTTGAGCAATATGCTTATTAAATAGTAACCTAATGCAATTATATTCTGAAAACTCTATAAGATTTAATGAAAACTCTGTGATTAAGATTTTTTAATTAGTAACTATTTTAATGTGTTTACACGGTTTTTAAATATTTGAGGTTTTAAGTATAATATAAATTATTGATTGCCTTTGTAAAAAAATAAATAAATAAAGTGGAAGCTAGTTTAATGACAAGATAGTAAAATGTGATTAATTTTTTGTTGCGTTCCTTGAGAGAAAACTACATACTAACTGAGCTAAAGAGAAAGATAGGCCCGAAACAGAAGAAAGAACATAGATCGTAGAACAAAGGTTGCAGAATGAAGATCGTAGAACAAAGATCGCAGAAAAAAGATTGTAGAATTAAATTTGTAAAACAAAGAATGTAAAACAATTAAACATCTGATACCGTGGATGAAGCTATGATAATCATGGCTTATGATTTAAATGGCTGATGTTTGTGTGATGTTTAAGCATCAAGGAGGAGTGTAATTATATTCAAGAAAACTTTGTAGCATTTAGTGACAACTCTGTGGTTTGAGATTAACATTTTTTAACTGGTAATTGTTTTTAATGCTTATATAGTTTTTAATGTGCATATTTGAGGTTTTTAGTTAAAAATATAAATTATTGATTGATTTTGTAAGAAGGAAGTTTAATTAAAAGTTAATTTGATTACAAGATAAAAAAAAAAGCTGATTATTTTCTTGCTATTTTTATTGAGAAAATTACGCTAAAAAAAAGAATATAATTTACTATAAAATATTTTAAACAAAATAATAAAAACTAAAAAATTCCCAGACTTTCTGACTTTTAACTGAACCAATTTTTTTTCTCCCTGATTTTCCCTGATCAAATCTAAATTTCCGACTTTACCTGATATGGTGGCAACCTTGAATATAAGCAGAGTTAAATAAAAATGGACAAATGTAGATATAATGTAAACATTGATCTCATTTAACTGACTGATAGAGTGAGTCCTATCTGTATGTACACATTATCATAGTGGAAGAATGAGGTGAACAAAAAAAAAAACAACCTAAAAACATAAAAAAAAACTAATACTACCTGAATAAAATGCTTGAAAAACAATTCTTTGCTCTTCGCCAAAATAGCATTTGTCCCATAAAAAAGCCAACTCCTTTCTTATTGATTCAATAAACTTTTGCATGTGCAATCTCTTCAACTCCTCTAATCGTGATATTTCTTTCATAAGCTAAAAATAAAACTTAAATGAAAAACCAATAAAAGAAAAAAAAGTTTAATTTAGTATGAACAAAATTTACCGCTTTTGCTGATTTTGGAGTGTTACTTTTTAATATGGGCAAAAATTCATCTCTTTCACTTTTTGTAGTTTCTAAACGATCCCACAATGAAATAACTTTGTTACGCAGAGATTCTATTTGTTGTAACAATGCACTATGCTCTTCTTGAAGCTATATATATATATATATATATATATATATATATATATATATATATATATATATATATATATATATATATATATATATATATATATATATATATATATATGTATATATATATATATATATATATATATATATATATATATATATATATATATATATATATAATTACTTTGATAAAAATAAGGTTTCAAATGTCTATATTCTATCATTCTATCAAAATGTATACTTTATCATTCATTTAAATGCTCTAAACAATTTAATGAAACCTTTTTTTGAAGTTCAGTTAAATCATCAAGATGTTGTGAGGATAAAACAAAATTTTCATCAGAATCCGGATGACACAACTGTTCCTCAAATTCGTTACTTGGTTCACTATCAAGCTCTCGCCACAGTTGCATGATAGAAGCTTGTAGCTTTTTAAAAAGAGTCATGCGTGACGTCTAAATAAAAATTTTGCATATGAAAAATAGAAAAACTAAATTAAAAATATGCTTTATAAGATTTATTTACTATTGTGATTTATTTATTTTACTGGAAAAGAATTTCATATTACAAAATGTATTACAAAACTAATGCATTACAAAACTAATGTACTACAAAATTAATTTTCAAGTTGTTTTCTGTATTACAATTTTAAATTTATATCTTTGTCAACCCTTCACAGCTCTATTATTGTTTTATATTATTAATATAAAAATATAAAACTAATTTAGTTTTAGTAAAACTTGCAATTCTGATTAATATTGTAAAACCAAAACTCTAACAATTGTGGAACTCTGGAATCACATTTACATTGTCTCAAAATCTATGCCACAATAAATGGGATTTATCCACCTATTTTAAAAATGCTGTTCTTGAAAAGTAGTAACATGCTATTTTAGTAAAATTTTAGAGTTTTATAATACCGGAAATTCTAATACTGATTTTTGTTATTTAAAAATCTATAAAATTTATATTTATTGAGTTGTTTAAGGTCGTTTTTAAGATTGTCATGCTCGCTTTGCTTCAATAAAACAACAACAAATGTTCCTGAACATCCTTAATAAACAACATCTTGCCATAAAATACACAGTGGAACTTGAAAACGACCTCAAACAACTCAATTTCCTAGATATTAACATTACAAACACAGGCTCTGGAACTTATGAATTTCAAATACATAGAAATTACAAATGTTCAACTTAAACCTAACTCGAACATTAATCCTAACATTATTATTGGCGTTTTCAAAGGATTTTTATGTCGTGCTAAAAGAATATGCTCTCAAAAACACCTTCAAAAAGAAATTGATTTTCTAATAGACATCTTTGTTGAAAATGGCCACGACAAGAACATTCTAAATAATATTACTATAGACTATTTAAAAAACGGTTCAAAAAACACCACATTTCAACAAATAGATACCCAACTCTTTATAAAACTACCTTGGATACCAATTGTTGGTCCAAAACTTCGTAAAGAATTTCGAAAGCAAAACATAAAGGTTATTTTCACATCAACTCCCAATTTAAAAAATATTTTCTGCAACAATAAAACTAAACTACCACTAAACACAGACCCTGGCGTATACCAGCTAAAATGTTCATGCGGTTCAATATACATTGGCGAAACTAAAAAGAAGGTGATATCGAGATGTATTGAACACCAAAAAAACAGCTTAAAAGGAAAACGGTCCAGTTCGGGTGCAACTGAGCATTCTAAAACATGCCATGGTAAGTTTGATTGGTTGCACCCCAAAACATTATCTGTAGCCCCAGAATATCTAACTTGGAAAATCAGAGAGTCACTCGAAATAAGTAAGGCTAGGGTTCAACAGAAGTTGAGAAATGGTGACGTGGTTCTCAATCGGGATGATGGTGATAACATAACAACCAAAACCTGGGGGCCATTTTTTAATAAAATCTGTAGATGTCAGTTGTTTGAAAAGTTTTTTTCTGTATTATATGATGGCTTTTTAATGTTATCTTTTTAAAGGTTTGTTTTTACTATAACGATTTTATAACTATTTTGTTTATTAAACCTGATGACGCTGATCACAATAGATCAGCGAAATATCGAAATAATTATATATTAAAGAAAAAATTTATATATATATTTAAAAAAAGTTTATACGCAGCCGTATTTATTGAATTCTAACCATATTTTAACGTATAACAAGAAAATGACATTCAAAGATATATATATATATATATATATATATATATATATATATATATATATATATATATATATATATATATATGTATATATGTATATATATATACATATGTACATATATATACAAATATATATATATATATATATATATATATATATATATATATATATATATATATATATATATATATATATATATATATATATATATGTGTGTGTGTGTGTGTATATATATATATATATATATATTAGTGTCAGGTCAGGAGTATGGTCTTCATGATCATCCTGCTACTGGTAACATGTAACCCAGTGCAACCTGTTTCATGTTCTGCTGCCTTGCAGGATTTGCTTTCTAAGCAAAGGCTGGAAGGAGTGTTCTTCCTGTCATCAGTACTATCTTATATCAGTCATGCCTATAGTAATTTTTTTTTAATTTTTTTTTTTCTTCTTATAGTTGGAGGTGCCTTAGTTACTGTATTAGCTCAACTGTAATCTACGTTATATGTATGTTTGTGTTCTGTCTGAACCTCTGGCGCAGTGTTGGCTCACCCGTAAGTTACTTTATGTTTTTGTTTATGTTTTTTATGTTTTTTTATGTATGTTTGTGTTCTGTCTGAACCTCTGGCGCAGTGTTCGCTCACCCGTAAGTTACTTTATGTTTTTTATGTATCTTTGTGCTCTGTCTGAACCTCTGGCGCGGTGTTGACTCACCCGTAAGTTGATTTATGTTTGTTTGTGTTCTGTTTTTTCTCTAATGCAGCGTGAGCTCAGTAATTAACTACTTACTCCAACTACAAAACCTACACTCACCTTAGACTCCGTATTTTGTTAGATACAGTTTTTCCTAATGCACTTCCAAAATGTCATGCCTAGTTTTCTCAAAGTACTGATGCGGGAAGAAACTCCTTTTAACTACTCCAGGTCAGGTCAGGATAATCGAGATCAATCTTGCTACTGGTATCACGTAACCCAGTACCACCTGCCACAAGCCCTGCTGCCTTGCAGAGTGTGCTCTTCTTATGCAAAGGCTAGGAGAAATAAACTCCGACTAAAAATTCCCCTGCCTTGGGGCTCTTGGTTGAGTAAAGGCTAGAGATGGTGTCTTGATAAAAACACTCATCTTGGGCAGATGTTAACTGCATCCAGCTAAACATCCCCTGCCTTGGGGCTCTTGGTTGAGTAAAGGCTAGAGATGGTGTCTCGATAAAAATACTCATCTTGGGCAGATGTTAACTGCATCCAGCTACTGTCTTGTAGAAGGCCTCCTAGGCAAAGACTTTAGGGGTAAGCAGAAAAATTCTGCTAACCAGCCTCGAACCCCTTCTTCATCTATTAGGCTGGCGTAGATGTAACCTGTGTTAGATTGTTTCCTGCCTAGGATGATGAATGCTGGATCTCCTTGACTCTACTCATAGAATTTTGCCTATGCCTCCTTGATAATGGCTATGCAACTCTTCCTGTTATCTCCATATGAGGGTACAGCTCTAAAACTCAGTTTAATGGTTCAGAGGCCGGCTGGTAGTAAGGTTTCCCGAACTCTGTGGTAGCTCTCAGAGAGGCTGATTCCATCAACAGCTGCAGAATATCAGAGTATTAACAGTGCCATGTTGCGCATGGATGGTGTCCCTGTTAATGCTTTTGGTGTGCATTGTCAAGGCCACATAAGGAGCCCTATGTCACGGCTTAGGGTTAGTTAACAGGATTGAGACAACTGCATAGCTCATTGATTAGGAGGCTGTGCTCTATCTACAAATGAGTCAAGTTCTCATTAAACCCAAATCATGACCAAAGTAACCAAAAATTTTAAACCTAAAAACCATCCCCACCACCTAAATATTTTATTATATCTTTTACAAATTTTACGCGGTCTACGAAGCAATAGTCACATGCTAGGTTTAGGGGTATACATACGCATTAATTCCCCTATTTGTCGTGAAATCAGGTTCGAATCCTTTGATTATTCTTTTATGTGCTTTCGCCAATCACCTCAAGTGTTTGACTGAGTCTTGTTTTCCTGCTTGTTGGAAAATGGCATCTGTGGTTCCAATATTCAAAAAAAAATTCTGACCCCTCCAGACAATCAATACAGTTTTCAATCCTCTCGCTCTACGGCTGACTTGCTAACTGCTGTAACTGAAAGATTTTATTGTGCATTAGATGGAGGTGGTGAGGCTAGGGCTATTGCTCTCGACATATCTAAAGCTTTCGACAAAGTTTGGCATGCTGGTCTTCTCCATAAGCTTGCTTCATATGGTGTTTCTGGGAAAGTTCTTGAGATTATCAAATCATTTCTTTCTAACCGGTTTATTAAAGTCATCCTTGAAGACCAACACTCTTCTTTATTTCCAGTAACTTCTGGGGTTAACCAAGGTTTCATCCTGGGCTCTGTTTTGCTTCTTATCTACATAAACAATCTTCCTGACAACCTTTCATCTAAAGTAGCTCTTTTTGCTGATGACTCAACTTTATACTCCTGTCTTGACAAAAGTCTTCTCTTTTTGATCGCCTAGAACAAGCAGCTATTCTCGAATCCGATCTCACTTCAGTAATAGATTGGGGTTCACAGTGGCTTGTGTCTTCTTGGATTATCGCTTACTACTGACCTTTCATGGAAACCATATATACAATCGATTGCTAAATTAGCTTCTGCTAAGGTTGCTTCTCTTTATCGTGCTCGCCATTTCCTTACTTCTGATTCCATTCTCTACCTCTACAAATCTCTTATTCGCCCCTGTATGGAATACTGTTATCATATTTGGGCTGGTTCTTCTAACGATTCACTTTCTCTTCTTGACAAGGTCCAAAAACGCATTGTAAATGTTGTTGGACCTGGACTATCTGCTAAGCTTGAACCTCTTTCCCATCGTCGTAAAGTTGCATCTCTTTCTCTTTTATACAAATACTATCATGGTCACTGCTCAAAGGAGTTATCATCTCTAGTTCCATCAACTAAAATTCATTCTCGTTTTACTCATCATTCAGCTAAGTCTCATTCGTTTACTGTATCTGTCCCTGCATGCTCTAAAAACTTTTATTCATCTAGTTTTTTTCCCTGCACTTCAATTCTTTGGAACTCTCTCCCATCTTCATGTTTTCCTGACTCATACAACCTTCAACTTTTCAAGTCTTCTGTCAACTGTTTCCTTGCTCTATAACTCTGTTGTTTTTTTTCCTAGTAACTCCCAACTTAATAGTGGTTGCTTGCAGCCTTGTTGGGAGTGAATGCAAATAAAAATAAAAAAAAACTGAAAAATACATTAACAGCCAATCCAAATATTTTTAG